TCAAACTGCAAATACTGGTCTGTGTGGGTGGGTTTGCGGTACACCTCAGTTTGCAAATGTCCTCTATCAGAGACTGAGACCTCACAGTCCAAGAAAGCCAACCTGCCATTTTTTACATCTTCTCGTGTGAACTTGATGTATTTATCCACAGAGTTGATGTGGTCAGTAAAATGTTGGACTTCCTGAGATTTAATTTTAACCCAGGTGTCGTCAACATACCTGAACCAATGACTTGGTGGTGTCCCTGAAAAGGACGTCAAGGCTCTCTTTTCTACCTCCTCCATGTACAGCGTGCTAATGATCCATTGTTAGGCTGATGGTCCTTCTTGAGCATGTGATCAGCTGGTTTTGGTTGTCAGCAGCAAACGGTTGATCCACTCTGAGAAGGTGCTATTTAAGAGACTGAGCTGAATACAGCACCTCAGACTGAGGAAGTCCTCAGGATGAGAGACAAAACATTTCTACATTTTTTTGTTTTGTTTTGTTTTTTGAATATCCAGAGGACCAGATTTAACCTTTTTAGAAAAACTGAAACATTTAACTTTGAAACAAGATGCTTTGATGATGACTAAAGTCTAGCTGTAACTTCTGGCAGACAAACAACTGAAACTAAACGCCGTGCACCATTGAAAAGTAGGCAAAATGAATGCCAGTGCAGTTTTGGTGAGTCTTTAACATTTTCTATTGTAACGGTTTATTTATTGAACAAATTCCAGTTCAATTTGCCTTTTGTGTCTCAATTCTCACCAGGGAAAAGTCCATCAAATAGCTCAAGGTTAAATACAGGTTAATAAATAAATAAATGAAGGTCGTTACTCATTCGAAGATGAACAGTCGACTCACAGTCGCGTGGTTGCGGGACGTTCAGTCCACGAGACACACGGGGCTGAACTCCTGCTGGGAAACCTCTCCCCCTACAATATGCATCACAACACAGGTTTGTTTTCCTGCTTGTGTAGGGGAACCACTGCAAAATGTACAGTACTACATGTAGTACTACATGCAGTACATACCACTACAGTGGTACAAGTAGTAGTGAGGCTGAGATGGGGTAGAGGCAGAGCAGCCGTCATGGGACCAGAACGTCACAGTTTGACTCCCAGCCATGCCCACATGTCGTGATGTCTCTGAGCAAGATGCCCAATCCCTAATTGCTCCCCGGGTGCCTACATAGCTGCCCACTGCTCCACCTGGGTGTAATGCAGAGAACTAAATTCATCGTTGTATGGAAACGTATAATGATGACACCACATAGCATGTACTTATTTACTATAATATGTGTACATCACATCCACATACTCCTGTCAGGAAAGGCTCAGCCCGGCCTTGTGTCGAGAAGGGGCAGACGACGCTACTCTGAGAACAAAACGGTGCAATTTCAGTCACAGAGCTACGTCAATAAGAGCTGATTTCTCAGCTTCAGATGGAGTGTGCAGAGCCCTTTAGGCTGCTGATACCATCCTCTGTTAGAAAGCTGCAACTTGTATTATTTATTCACCACAGTAACCCTAACAGTGATGAGTGCTGGGTGAACGAAGTGTCACATACAGAAGGTCACACAAACAAGGTGTATAACCCTGTCATGGCTCAGGTTACAGCTCAGTTTGTTATTTAAGACTGTGGCATATTGGTGCACATATTCGTCCCACATCATCACAGTAAAGACATCAGTGTTCAGTGTGTGCAAAAACATGAAGAACATGTTAAGCTAGTGGCAACTGAGAGGTCTTTTTTTTTTCCAACTCTCACACTTTGCCCCGGCCAAGGCAGTTTCGAGATATGATTTTTTTACCTCCCCTCGTGTTTTCTCTTTTCCATACTTTTGTCCGGTTGTCTGTCTAAAACAGATCTCACTTGTAAATGAGTCTCCGAGGCTCGGTGTGATTAATCTGTATAACTAAAGGTTGAATGAATGAACTGGTGTGAATGGTGTCAGAGGAGTTTCCAAAATGTCTGAAAACAACTGAGGATCTGCTGCAGATTCTGGTCTAAGGTTTGCCAAGAGTTTGTGCAAACATGGGATACCAGAAGAAAAGGTTAAGATTTTCTCAAAATTTTGTTTCCAACTAGTTCCCAACAGTTGTGGTCTGGTAAAATACTAGCTTTGGTCACGGAAGATCACTTGCAGCTAGAGCACAAATGCCGTGACAGTGGAAGAGTAGAGCAAGATTCTGTCTAAAGCACTCCTAGAACAGTCCGTTCAAACGAACAACCGGAGCTTGTAGACCTGCCTGTTTATTTCAGACAGCTCTGTGGGAAAAAAGAACTTTCCTGGTGATCCCCGGCAGCAGCAGAGAGTGAGATGTGGATGGAAATCTTTTATGATCATAATTTGCATGCTTTGAAACGCCATGTGGTTTCTAATAAATGCTACTGAATACATCACCAGGCTTTAAGGAAGCACCATCTGTGGCTGTGGCTCACCTAGCTAAGAAGCCAGGTGAGAGTGTTTAACATTTTATTTCCTACTTGAGGGACAGAATCTTTTGTGTTAACGATGGAAATGTTTTATCCACTTCAGTGCCTCTTTCGTGTGGGGGTTCTCAGGGCTTGACTCTTGGCCCACTTCTGTTTTCACTGTACCTGCTGCCTTTGGGGTCTATTTTTTTCTCCTTATGAGATATTTTTAGTTTTATATTGCCTTTTATTTTGAATCATGTTTTACCCCAAGTTCACAGCAACAAACACATTTTTGTATAGATTTCTTAAAAAAAAGTGATCTCTGTCATTTAAAATTAGGATTCTTTCTTTTTCCTGTTGGACTGAACCTAAACCAACAATGACACCAAAACACAAGCTGTTACTTAAGGTTACTGTCACACCCCTACCTAATAAAAACTATAATAATGTTTAATTAGGGAAATCTAATGACATTTTCTGTTCATGTCTGGTCATTCTAACTGTAGTTCTTCTTTCTTTAATGAATATATTTAATTCTTCGTCAGACATTGTGAGAGACTTCCCTTTCTTGCACAGTCTGTTTGCCTCAGTGGCTGGTGGCGTTGCGATGCTCTCTAAAACTGTCCCCGTGCCAAGAAACAGCCATGGATAACATCAGCAGAGCTTCAAACGAAACTTATCAAAACAGCTTTTCCACTGTTCAGTTTCATTGCCTTGATCCTGCGGAGCAGCTCGGTAGAGGCAGAGGAATGCTGCCTAGACTTTTCAGTTTGCCGTCCCATCGGGCCGCTGCGCTTCAGCAAACACACCAAAGTCCTGTTTGTTTGCTCTGAAAATATTCAGCGGCCTGAGGCCTGTTTTCTGATCCGTGTGGTGTAATGTTTGCGCCGGTGCAGTCGCAGATAAGTTGGCTGATTCCCATACGTTTTCTTTGTGCTCCGTGCTGGCTGCTCTGCTTCAAATGTTCAAACAGGTGTTTTGTCGTATTGTTTTTTAATATTTCCTTCAGGTAAACTGATACATTATAAATGGCTTCTTCTGGGTACCCTACGTTTGTGTTCAAAGAAGAGATGTTCTGCTTTTCTACGTGTCCGTTTTTATTCCAACTCTTAATACGTTTCAGTCCCAGACTGTCATCTTATCTGGTTGTAAGTTTTTTCTCTCTGGAGCAAAATAATTCAATGCATTTCAGCTGGCCTCATCACTACCAGCTGTGCATTTGGCATCAGTGGATCCAAACCTTCTGCCAGCTCTCAGTTTCCTTCCTGTCTTGCCTGAGTTGGACTGTGTCTTAAACTGCAGCCTCTGAAGACATTTGAAGACATGTGAAGACATTTGAACCAAGGTTTGCTTCTTTGGCCCTTTCAGTGAGCCGGGGTTCTCTGCATTCTTCAGCTCGCCTCATTTAAGAGTCCTGTTGGTGACGTCACCCAGAAGAAAGAAATTGCAACTTCCCTGATAAATTGCATCACTATTGTTTTTGTCGTCTTCAAAGCCTGCCGAGACAAACGATTAAACGAGGTTCACACAAACCACAAAGAATGGCGTCATGAACTGGGCAGAAAGGCATTGTGTTTGTGGAGGGTTCAACCGTTTGAAACAGTAATTTCTTTTTCAAAAAAGGAATTTTTCTTGATCGTTCAACTCTGTCCTCTTGTCTCCTGACTCCGGTGAAGAGGTCATCATCCACTGGAGCTGAGAAAACAACAGAAAGTTGAGGCCTGGTCAAGCAGACAGGTCAAGGACCTAAAGAGCCACAAGAGGCCTGCCACCTTCTGGGTCGTTAATGATTAATGAAACCTGCGGCCAGAACGGCAGACCATGACTAAACTTACAAAAAGAGCTGAAGCAGCGAGAGCAAAGCTGGACAGTAAGAGAAGGGGAAGAGGGGCGTGAAGGCTCGGGGGTACTGATACAGAGAAAGAGCCTGGATCCAACGCTGTGCTTTTACTGTATGCTCCAGAGGCTCCAGACACAACAATGTTCACAACCCAGCAGCTTTTAAAGTCTGAAGACAAGCGCTGCAGAGAGGTTTGGGTCCTTAATGTATGTGAGGAAACAGATGCTCAGAAAAAGGAGGGGGACTTGGGTTTCCCAGTTGGAGAGTGAAAAAGCAGTTCACGAAATGCAAAACAATATGAAAGTCTACTCGCTGCTTCCCATGAAGTTTTGCAGTCCTGAACCTTGCTATCCAACAAAGCACAGTCGTGCCCTTGAGGTACCACCACGCCGAGACCTCCATTACGAGCTCGGCCTGTTGAAAGAGGAGCCGAGGGGGGCTTAGCAGGTTTGGCTCTTAACCCTCCTCCATTAGGTCAGATATGAAAGGAGATAGTTCAACGTGATATTTTGTGGCAAGTCAGTTTCAGGAGGCTTCATTTGAACAAAGAAATACAATCTCAGTCGCTGTCGCTCTTATTTTCTGACGCTCCTGGTCATCAGCCGTTTCTTCTGCTCATTCTAGATATAAGCCAAAGATTTCTTCATAGAGAATGTGTTTTAATCTTCTACATGACCTGACATTTGTTGGCTGATGTCATTGTTCTATCTGAAACCACAACAGGAAGAAAAACTCCTCTGTCGCCTGTGTTTCATTACAGACTTCCTCGGACGACTGTGACCCCCATGAAGGGATCCATGAGGGGAAGGAGGGCATGTACCGCCTTGAGTTGTCCAACACTGTCCAGAGGTTGGAGTTCTGGCACAAAGACTTGATGAACACCTTGGTAACTTCAATCACCGTGGTTCCAGTGCATGGGCGCACCGTGGCATACCTCGGAACAGCAGACGGACGCCACATACAGGTAAGGAAGTCTTTGTTTCCCTGGTTTGGTGTAAAAAACAAACCTGAAACACTTTCCCCTTCTGTCACTTCCACTGTTCATGGAAATGTGTCAGACGTGAAAGCAGCCAGACAGAGACAACAACACCGAGTCAGTTGGAGGTTGGGAGAAACTGTGACTCGACACCAGGATCTTTCTGTTTGCACAGTTTGCTTCTATTTGCACTGTCTCGGTTAGCCTCCAGAGAAAGTGCACGATCAAGTCTACTATCCCACAAATGCAGCTCCCTGTCAGCCTATCAGGACGAAATAAGCTTGAATTCCTTTGACCTAATCATGCATTAGCCGGTACCTCTACACATCCAGAACCTGACAAATCTGCCTCTACAAGTTGCTAATAGGGTGTGACGCCCCTTCACTTTACTGTTGGAGCTAAAACTTGTTGTGTTGTTAGTGGATCTGATCCCCGTCATGTCCTCTGAGCCCTAATAGATCTACAGTTAAAATGTTTTGTGGTCTGTGTGCAAATAGCATGAACTCAATGGATTCTGCACACACTGGGCTAAAACTTGTAAAACATGTAAATCTACAACTAAATAACTTTTGGAGTCAATTCAGTTTAAGATGGCCACCTTAGCCAATCAACCTTTGATGCCTCGCCCGTCGCAGAGCCATAAAGGGGAACTGAAAATACCCTCTGTCCGATCGTCCATGCATGTTGTGCGCATGTTAATGTGAAAAATTAAGTGAGGTGCTTTCTCCTGTTTTGGTGTGTGGCTGCATCCAGGCAAAAGAAAGTCGAGTTGAAATCCAAGGCCAACACGGCCAGCGTCATGCGTGTATGTAAACTCACCACATCAGTAATTTGAGGGAACTGTTTCGTTTTTATATTGATGAAAAGTACAGTTTCCTCAAATGATTGGGGTGGCTGAAGATTAATTTATGGTGGGCAAGGCCACCACTGGCCACCCCCTGGCTCCTCCACTGTACCTGGTGGTGGACTCGTCAGGACCCGTCACTCTGCCGCCTCGGATAAGCAAAATAATAACTTTTTTAACACAGTACAACTCCTCCCCACTTTAATATCTTGCACCAAGATGATTAAAGTTTGCTTGAACTCTTTGTTCAATTCCAGTCCAGAGAAACTTGAAAAAATTAATCTTGAAAACTTTTCACATCTCTCAGCTGCAGCAGACTTTGACAAACCGCTCGCTAACACAAAACTGGACACAACTCCGTCCGTGTTCCACAAACGGAGCTAAAATGTATTGTTTGTAGCGGAGTCACCCTCAACACATGCTCTGTAAGAAAACATTTATTTCAATGTTTGACCAAATCAGCTGTAATCAATCATATTCAAGATGAATGGACGTTGAACGTCTTCGTTTGATTCCAGTCATTCCAGTGGTGCGTATAGAACGATGTTAGTAAAAGTACAGCTGTGATATTACTGAATATAAATCCTTACGTGCTGATGCTCACAGTCCATGTGCCTGTGAGTGGGGGCCTGATTATCAAATATGTATTTGTTTGCATAAAGTTATTTTGGATTATTATGATAGTGATGTTTTGCACGCCTAATATTTATTAATTATTAATAATTTACCTTTGCTTGGTGTGAAAACATGCCTCATATCTCTGAGTCAGTGTTCCAGTTTAAAGAAAGTTAACTTTTTTACTCATCTGCTCCGACAACAAAACACCAGGGGGGGGGGGGGGGGGGGTCTGCAGCTGCCGAGTCCTGATGCCTTCATGCATCAGAAAAAAGAAAAAAAATACTATGACAAATGGAATGAACACATGAAGTAAAAGCTGAAGTATCTCACGCGTTTTTGAAACACAAGAATTAAAAAACATGCACGAAAAGAAAAAAACAGACAGAGGCCTGGAAGAAAGGCTCGACAGCTGCTCGGGGGGGGTTACAAGCTGAACGGCACGTTAATGGTGAGTGGCAGGCTTCGTTGACACGTCCCCTCGCTCGGCATTTCTACTGTGCCGGTCCGGTGCAGCTGTTGCTGTTTTCTACCATCGAGCCCGGCTCCTCCTCATCCAGACGTTCCGTGGGCGAGCAAAGTGGCAATTTTTAGTTTTTACTTCAATCAGTTGCGTAAGTTAAATTATTAAAACTATTTTTTAATCTATTTTAAATGATCTAATTTTAAACTTGTTGCTAACAGATGAGGTCAGGCAGGAATCCCCGTGGACTACAATGTTTGCAGATGACATCATGATCTGTGGTGAGAACAGGGAGCAGGTGGAAGAGAACTTGGAGAGGTGGAGGTATGCACCTGAAAGAAGAGGAATGAAAGTCAGCCGTAGTAAGACAGAGTCCATGTGTGTGAATGAGAGGGAGGAGGTGGAACAGTGAGGCTACAAGGAGCAGAGGTCACAAAGGTGCAGGACTTCAAGGACTTGGGGTCCACTGTCCAGGAACATGGGGAGTGTGGAGAAGAGGTGAAGAAGAGAGTCCAGGCAGGATGGAGTGATGGAGAAAAGTTTCAGGAGTGATTTGTGACAAAAGGTGTCAGCAAAGGTCAAAGGAAAAGTTTACAAGACAGTGGTGAGACCAGCTATGTTGTCTGGTCTGGAGACAGAGACATGGACAAAAAGACAGGAGACAGAACTGGAAGTGTCAGAAATGAAGATGTTGAGGTTCTTCTTAGGAGAGACAAGGATGGAGAAGATCTGGAATGAGATCATCAGAGGTACAGCACAGGTTGGATGCAGTTAGACATGAAGGTAGTTGGAGTGAGGACAGAGGACAGAGAGGACAGAGTGAGGATAGAGAACACAGAGGACAGAGGGAGGATAGAGGACACAGGACAGAGTGAGGACACAGAGGACAGAGTGAGGACAGAGGACACAGGGGACAGAGTGAGGACAGAGGACACAGAGGACAGAGTGAGGACAGAGTAAGATGGAGGAGGACTTGCTGTAGAGACCCTTCTTGTTAACCAGAGTGACTGCAGTATCACCCTCACTTCTTGGTCGTATTGTTTTGTACTGTTAGTGTTTTTCTTGGTTCATGTCTTAGATCTTGTTACTGTTTTTCATTTTATTGTGGGATGTAACTGGGACCCTGTGAACATAATCTTGTTCCACCTCATGTACCACATGTCTCAGCGCCTCTGCAGGAGCGACACTCGTCTCATTCTTACTCTGATTTAACGAACCGTCAGCTTTTCATGCGTTTCACTTCCATGTTGGTCCCAGAGGGCGAGGCTGATGGAACGGGCCGCAGAGGCAGGGAAAGAAACGAAACGTTGTCCCGACCCCAAGTGGCCCTGGAAGTTTCCCTCCATTTCAGTTGGCCCTCTGTGGGAATAACAGAGCGCTGTTTATAGAGCCCCCCCCCCCGCCTCCTTAATTCAATAAGCTGTAATTTACACCACTATTACCTCCAGAGAGACGGCTGTTGTCCCGAGCGGAAAGTCGCCCATTCTGCTCGCTGTCACAACGATAGTGTGAAGCTCAGGCAGCGGCAGGAAAGATGCTGGGAAACAAGACATTTGTGGTTGGGGGGGGGGGGCATGGACCTGAGGTAAAGTTTTTACAATCCTGACTGTTTCAGCTTTTTACTGGCTGCCCCGACACAGAGGATAAAACAGTCGTCACCTTCAGCTGCATCATGTAGCGCTTTGCCCAGCGCCGTAAATTACACACATACCACAACACTCACTGCAGCCTCATCCAGGTGTGTGTGCTCCAGGTGTGTGTGCTCCAGGTGTGTGTGTGCTCCAGGTGTGTGTGTGCTCCAGGTGTGTGTTTGTGTGTTCTGTTGGGAGGGATAGGTTTGGCTCACAGCACATGGTTTTGTTTTTTAGAAGAAGGAATCAGATGACATCTTTATCTTGACGGAACAAAACATATTGTGTGTGTTATGTGTGTGTTATGTGTGTGTGTGTGTGTGTGTGTGTGTGTTATGTGGGTGTGTGTAATTTGGAGCAGCCTCATGTAACTGGAGTGACCACACTCCCCGTTACAGATCCTGTTCCTTTCTGTTTGCTCTGAGGTGCAGCAGAACCACAGAGATAAATGCTGTTCCAGGTGTGTGTGTGTGTGTGTACTGTACACTATATATATATATATATATATACAGTATATACATATATATATACACATGTATAGTATATACATATATATATATATATATATACAGTATATACATATATATATACACATATATAGTATATACATATATATACACATATATACAGTATATACATATATATATATATAGATGTGTATATATATATATATATATATATATATATATATATATATATA